ACCCCCACACTCTACCCCCACACTCTACCCCCACACACTACCCCCACACTCTACCCCCACACTCTACCCCCACACACTACCCCCACACACTACCCCCACACTCTACCCCCACACTCTACCCCCACACTCTACCCCCACACACTACCCCCCACACTCTACCCCCACACTCTACCCCCCACACTCTACCCCCACCGTATGCGTCTTGGCGGCAGCATCTATTGCGGACATGGGGTGGGGGGTATGGGTAGGGGGCCGATGCAACTGGCAGAAAAAACAAATGCGTGCGTCCTTCGTCGAGAGACTGCAAATACGGATTGTGTGTTGCGAATTGTATCGCACGTGAAGCGATGGAGCCTGCGTCGGTTTCTCCCAACCGAGGGCGATTTTATCCCAACGGGGCCGAGTAAACGACAGCGTTAGCCGGCGAGCGAGGTGAGCGCCCCGTTTGCGCTCGGTAGATTATTGACGAGCCATTCCTACTAGCGTGGCGTGCGTTGCTTCACTTGACAATTATCCTCGTAAAATATACACAGGCCATGCGTGCGCTCGACACGAGTGCAGCGGTGGGGTCTAATAATAGCCCTCGGTGCTGTGACCCAACAATAGATTGAGGACCGGCTGGGCTGTGCAGGAGCGAGAGAGAGAGAGAGCGAGTGAGAGAAAAAAAATATTCCTGCGAAATTTCCATCGTCCGCGGAGACGATCCCCCAGCCCTGTTTCTCGCTGCGAGGGTCCCACAGAGCCTATCAGCGTAACCGCAGTGAACGCAATTAACCAACAATAATGGCCATGTAGCAAAGGGGTCCCGGCTCAATGGCGGCACGGATTTGTCTACAGTTTCACCTTGTGACCTCTTACAAGGGCAGCGCCGTAATCATGGCCACTGTATTTTTCCAAAGACGCTCCGGCAGGCCGCGCACGGTGAACGCATCATTGTCTTGTAAGGGCGCCCGGTTATAAAACTCTTAGCGGAGAACTGCCCTCTGCACCCCAGTAGTGTCAAGCAGCCTGTGCCGTTTTATCTGTTACCCCTTGATTATGTGGGTGAAGGTGTGAACACGCGGTGATTGACTGCCTTGCTGCGTGCGTGCGTGCATGTGGGGAAGTGGGGAGCGGTAGCGTGCGCGGTGGTTATCGCGCGGCGCTACAAACACGACGACCCCAGTTCGATGGCCAACACCAGACGATTATCTGAACCTGTTCTTGGCCTCCCTTAAGTCGACTCCGCCTAAAACGAGTACCTGGTGCGATGTGTAAATGTCGCCAGTTGGGAGACAAAGGCGGTAGGGCGTGGTGCTGGCCACACACCCCCCTCGTGTGCCCTTGAAGGCCTTCATAGGTACTCGCTCACAGCACTTGCCCCAAAGATCTGTTCGGGCTATACGGGGGATCTTTGTCTTGTGTGGGGAAGTGGGTCTGCCCCCTGTGCTCTCACACGGGAATGAGCTCGCGTGAGTACCCACTGCTGTCTTCAGTGCCACCCAGGTTCACTTCGGGTGGCAGGGTTGCACGAGTGGGGTGACGACACTTGGCCACACTGCAAGAAGAAGAGGGTGGCCTGGATTTGATTGACTCGGGCGCCTCTATGTTTGTACATTCTTCCCTTGTTCTGCATTGGGCTTCCTCTGGGTTCTCGGGTTTCCTCCCATAGCTAGAGAATCCTAAAATGTGACTTTTTTGGGCAAAAATGCAATTGTTGAAAAATTACCTGCAAATTGCTGGTTTGCAATTTGCAAAGCACCATCGCTCCTTACTGCAGAACTATCCCTGAAAATTAGTCTTGAGGCTCATTGAGGCTGTCGTGGATAAGCAAGCCATCTAATCATGATAATAAATTATAAAATAACGAATACGTACATGCATCTCTATGTAGTAACACTTACCGAGCCATATTTAACATGAGCTCTGGCAATGAAAACATTCATGGGTCTGTTTAATCAATCCCAACCTGGGATTGAAGCCCCCATTAGGGTGACCTCCTATCTCCAACCACAACAGCGGGACACGGTGCCAAAGCACAAAGCCTTGGCTCGTTCCACCACAGTGGCCAAGGCGCGTGCACGAGGGCCTTTGAAGAAACCGGAATTCCCTGCACCCCTTCCAACCGACTCTTTCCTCCGCGGCGAAAACAGAGTTCACGTTCGCCCCCTTTCTTCCTTGAAGGGCCGACAACAGGCAGGATAGTGCATCCCCTGCGATTGCCAGCTCGCGCCACTGCTGGCGGAAGGGGCCTCCACGAGAGGGAGCCCTAGAGGGTATTGGGTCGACTCGTCCACGTTCCGCGGTTAATTCTCGTGCCCCAACGCCGCAGTCGCACTTGTGTCCGGTTATCGGGCACGTGATGATGATGATGAGGTGAGGTGGTTGCCTGGTGCGTAGCCCTAGTGAGGTCCTCCACGGTGCGTTGCTCCCACAGGAGCCGACAGGCCAAGGGGATGCTCTGTGATCTCGTCAAGGAGAATAAACCATCATTTGTTGGCCATAGAACTAATACGGTCACCGCATTGCGCGCTTTCAGATGCGCTTCTGCGGTCGTCTGGAAATGCTCTTCCTTCTGATATTAGGAAGCCACTGGAGCTATGCACTTTTAAATCATCCATATTGAAAACTCATTACTTTAGAACTGCTCGTGTTTAGATTGTTGTCCTTCCCTCGCACCTCCAATTAGCACGTATGGCTACGTACGGTGCAAAATAACTTCATCATACATGCGTACATGATCTGCGTTATGGCTAGGAAGCTTTGACTCTGCCACGTTGGGAAGAGGTGTGGGAGTTCCCACTGTTTACCGCACCGCGCTTGACTTGCCGACGACTAAACTATGGTGAACCCGTTTTATGCCGCCTGGTAGAAAGTTGCACAATGGTTTAAACTGCCGTGGATTCGGCGACCCTTTGGATTGGAAACCGGTGATATTTTCACTTTAATATCAACGCAGTAATGGCTGCAAAGAAGGTGTGCAGCCATTAATCCCCCACCCCCCCCCCCCCCCCCCCCGTATGCTGAGTGCCACCACGTCGTACCGTGCACCGCGCGACCTAGCCCGGGCCTGCAAGCCCCAGCCCCATCATCGTCCATCCGCGAGGTCCATAAAACGAGTACCGCTTTTGTGCAAAGTCAACGTTGGTTGTCCTACAGTGGGTCTCGCAACCGTCATAGAAACGAGGAATTTCCGCCACGTTCTCGGGGCTGTAAACCTGGAGAGATGATCACCGACTCGATGCTTCCCTTGAGCAGGAGGGATCACTTGGACGTGATTTTAACCATTTCCCGTTCCGAGACGTCTGCAAGTTGCAGGGTGGGTGGCCCGCTCACCACTGAATCTATGAACGCGCAAGCGGTTAGCGTTTATTTTATTTGGCGAGGCGTAGCGCCGTTGTTTTTAAAGACAATGTACTCGCCACATAGAACTGTAGCGACACGACAGCCACCAAACTGTGCCACACGCCCTCCTGCATGGCCTTTTGCTTCCGATTGTGTTTGGATTCTATTGGATTCCGTTGGGATGACGTAAACGTTCGTAATCGGATTAGAATCGGAAGAAAAACTGACGACGCACGCGTACGTGAGTACGTCATCGGAACGGGGAAAGGGTCAAACTGCCGGTGGACAGAACCGCAACGCGCAGCCGAGTTGCACAACTCGAAAGCGGCGCTCGGTTTGTCCCGTGAGCCGCCTTTTGTGCCGCCGTAAGGGGGGGGGGTGGAGGGGGGGCGGGGGGGACGGGGCCGCCCGACTCTCTGTGGGCCCCCGAGGCTACTCCGGCACAGCCTGGACCGCGCTTATTTACCGCGGCGCGTGCAGGAAATTGCGCGCTTGTTTTACTCGCCCGCTGGGGCAGTAAGATGCTGCGTTTTATTTGCCCGAGACTAAAATTTCATTGCCCGAGAATTTTGACGAGCCGTGAAACAGGGCGGTTGCGCGCGCGCGCGTGCTGACTGCATAATAATTTGTCGTTGTGGTGTTGTTTTAATTTGTGCGTGTTTGTGTACTCGATGACCTACAAATGTGTTTATACTGGCGGAAGTTTATCTCCAGCCTTAATGCTCGCGATGGAAATGGGGATTTGAACGAGCGGTACAGGAGAGTTCTGCTTATCCGAGTAATGTGGAGTATGCCTACCCCGGGAGCCAGTTGCCTGCGCTAACTATCCGGTGCTTCGCTTGGTTATCTGGGGTTTGGACCCCAGATAAACCTGGATAAACTGGCGTTTTCGCTCGTCTAACTGGATTACTGGGAGAGCGACATTGCATGTGTGTGACGTGATCAGGAATGGGTGCTGTGTCAGCGGCGACTGCCGTGGGTGGAAGGCGACAGACAGCCTCGTCTCCGAATGCAGAAAACGAGCCCAGTGTGTGTGCAGGAGGTGCTGAGCACACCTCCTTCAGAGAGGGATGGTGTGCCGCGGTGAGCACGGCTGCACAGCTTCATAATGCATGCATACTGCTGCACAACTCCAGCGGTGGAGGGAGTGCAGCAGCGGGGCAGAGCTGCATGCTGCACCACACTTCTGCACACCTCCTCTATGGGGCACGCCACCTCCTGCACACCACCTCCAGAATGGGTTTGTTCTGCTGTAGTTGATTTAAGGTATTCTTTGTCTATATTATTAGGGCCGAGGCGAGGTATTGCTTGGATCGGTGACCACTGCATATCAGGTTGCGATAGGCTGCTGTGGAGCTACGTGCTCGGCAGCAGAGGGGAGAGCGGCGGAATCCATCGCGTGACTGTACTTCTTTGTTCCCGCATCCATGGCTCCCTGCCTTCACCAACCCACGCTGACCGGTCGTTGTGATATTTGGTCAAAAACATCCCACGCCTTGCATCGCATGACGAGGCCCTCCCTCGGCAGTGGAGTGACTAAAGCGGCTGTACGCGCGTTTCTCTCTGGCCAGGTGGCACTGTGATCACAAGTTCAAGGCCATTATTGCCCCTGCTGTGGGGATGTGGAATCTTCACCGGATGTTCCTTTAACAGCTGTGTTGCTCGTTTCCCTGCAGAACTCACTGGGTGGCTGTGACGGGAATCAAACCCTCGTGTCCTCGCAAAGTGGCTCAGCGGTGAAGGTGCACAGTAAAACCCCAGGCTACCGCCCCCCCCGTCCTCACCACCTCGACCAAGCAGAGTCGAACCGAGTTTCTACGCTCTGGGGCTCGTGCGCCGCCTGTTAATACAGAGGTGAGCACGAATGCATTCGCTTGAGTCGAGTTGTTATTGTGATTTATCATCATCATCATCACGCTCGTTATCCACCAAAGCCTCGCCGAGTCTCAAGACGCTCTTTCAGGAGGCTCCTGACAAGTCTTCTCAGCAGGGGCGGTGTCGCTGCCGAGCGTAAACGCTATTTGAGTAAATTGCCAGCAGTTCTTCAGTTTTTGGATGTTTGGTCAATACCGGTTACATTCCATGGATTTTTTGTTGTTGTTTTTAATCTGTGGGAGGAAACCGGAGAACCTTGGAGTAAACCCACGCAGAACAGGCTGTAGAGAAAGTACGGATCCCACGCAGAGATGCACCCGAGTCTGGAATCGAACCTAGGTTCAACTCGGGCCCCTTGTTGCTGTGAGGGCTGCGCCGCCGACTCCCTGGCATGTTTGTTGAGTTTGCCCGGTGGAGGCTTGCATGGCCGATCACCATGATTACACGCGGCAGTCACCCACAAAGACAAAGACCCCCCACCATATAGCCTCAACAGACTGTTGGGGCAAGTGCTGTTAGCGAGCACCTATTAAAGCTGGCACGGCACACGAGGGGGTGAGTTCCCAACACTACGCCTGACCGCCTTTGTCTCCCCAGTGGCAATGTTTTTACACATCGCAGCAGGTACTAATTTGAGGTTGAGTCGACCTAGTTCATAGTTCATTTATTTGGTATAGCCCTGTGAGCCATCCGGCTCTTGAATCGGGTGCAACCGCAACAAACAAAAAACATGAACAAGAAAACATCTTAAAGTGATTATGTGACTGTGCAAACAGAAAATACAGGAAAAAAATATTGAAATATTCCTGAAATAGCACCGTACACCAACGCTGTGTGCAAAAATCCCAGCGGGATGGAAGTCAAATAACAACAACAACCACAAGACAACTAAGATTAAGGCCATCAGTCTAACTCTGTACTACAATAAACAAAAACATGGCCAAAACAAAAAAAACTTTTCGAAATCACCAAAATAAAAGCCATAAATCCAATGTAACAGTGATCATTGGGACTGTGACCGAATTTTTAACAATAAACTACATATACTTAGTTCCTTCGGTAAAGTCACGTTGAAGGGAAACAACAAAATAATAAAATATATATAAAACAATAAAAATTCTCACGACGTTTCGACCATAACACAAACGGTCGAAACGTCGTGAGAATTTTTATTGTTTTATATATATTATTATTTTGTTGTTTCCCTTCAACGTGACTTTACCGAAAGAACTAAGAATATTAATTACTGCAGTCACGAAAGCTTTAAATAAACTACATAAATAAATTATAACACCAAAATCTAGAGCCATATTTTAGACCTAGGGGAGGCCTAAGACCAGTTCAGATAATTGTCAATGGCTGTGTTGGCCGTGCGTAGGAATCGATCTTTGATCGCTGGGTTTGCAGCGCAGCGTGCTATAACAACTACATTACTACTCCCCACACACACGTACATGCACACACGCACACACTGTGCGTTCGACTTTTTCAAATTTCCCCCCCCCTAAGGTGGAAGTGAAGCTGGCAAATGAGCTCTATGCAGCGTTGTGCAAAATGTGCTAGAGCCCGCGGCTTACAGGGAGGGGGGGGTTCGGAGAAATCGATACTGCCCTCTGGATGTGTGTGGTGGTGGGATCCTCAGTGTGAACTCCAGCAGGGTCTAGCTATTCGCAGGCGGGGTTGGTGGGTCACGCAAAGATCACGGTGCGTTACATTCCCAAACCCAGGGGCCACGAGGCAGCCAGGAAGTGGCGGTAAAGCAAGCGGGTTTGTGAATCTGTCCCGCAACCTTTGGATGTTAATAATAAGAACAATCCCTTCAAATATATGATGGTTCATGGGAGGTGGCAGCGGTTTAGGTGCGGCCTTTGTCCAGCTGTAGATTTGAGCGTGGCTGTTGAGGGTGATGATCATACACGATGGGGTTTCTCCAGGCATGCCCAGGTTTGCTCTCAAACACAAAATGCTCGTGAAGGTAGAAATTTGGCAAACGTTTCAAAATTACCATCCTGCTGAAAATTGGTCTCCGTCGCTGGGTTGAATGCGCGCATTCCTGTGTCCGTTGCATCACCTCTTCACCCCCCTGCCCCCACAAGTCAATTAAATCCACCTATAGCAAACACATTGAAAAGCGTAAGCCCCAGGTCTCTTGCAAAAGGAGATTCAGAGTCTCGGTGGTCTTAACGCGCCCTCGTGTGCTGGACGTTGCGTTGTTATGTATGTTTGTTGAACTTCTTTCGCACCATACACAGCCAACTGTGCATATCGTGAGGCGGTCAGAAGAAGCGAGCGCCCATCTCCCTGGGGGTGGGGGCGGGGGGGGCTCTGTCGTCTCGCCTCCATTGGCAGCCTGGAGCCAGCAGGCGCACGCGCCCTTTCACAACAAAGTTATTTTAGCAGCCGTTGTTCCCGTTGGTTCCTGAAATATTTCTCTTGAAAATGTTTTTCATATTTCAGAGCTGAAAGATTTCAACATGCCAGTCCGTTGAACCTTTCCCGTGCAGGCATCCGACTTCTTGCGCACAAAGTTATTGCGCTGCCGATACTACGACGGTGGTACTTTTCTGTGTCCCGCCACGTGGAGTTGGGGTTGGTGGATCACGCAGCAGTATAGCTGTTGAGCGTCCTCTTAGGCGTGTGCACTGCTTTTGGAGTCCGCTGGCCTCGTACAATGAGCAACCCTTTTCAATTACCGCTGAGCCACATGACCGGGAATCAACCCGATGTTGCCGAGATGTCAGCGGCCGATGTGGTGGCACAGTGGTAACTCTCGTGCCTCGTGGCAAGGGGAACCTAGGTTCGATGCCCGACTCGGGCTCCCTTTCTGTGTTGATTTTGTAATGTTTGCTCTGGCTGTTCTGCATGGGTTCCCTCCGGACTTTCTGCTTTCCGAGCATGTACAGTGGTACCTCGGTATACAGTGAGGGAAAAGAGTATTTGATCCCCTGCTGATTTTGTATGTTTGCCCACTGACGAAGAAATGATCAGTCTATAATTTTAATGGTAGGTTTATTTGAACAGTGAGAGAGAGAATAACAACAACAAAATCCAGAAAAACGCATGTCAAAAATGTTATAAATTGATTTGCATTTTAATGAGGGAAATAAGTATTTGACCCCCTCTCAATCAGAAAGATTTCTGGCTCCCAGGTGTCTTTTATACAGGTAACGAGCTGAGATTAGGAGCACACTCTTAAGGGGAGTGCTCCTAATCTCAGCTTGTTACCTGTATAAAAGACACCTGTCCACAGAAACAATCAATCAATCAGATTCCAAACTCTCCACCATGGCCAAGACCAAAGAGCTCTCCAAGGATGTCAGGGACAAGATTGTAAACCTACACAAGGCTGGAATGGGCTACAAGACCATTGCCAAGCAGCTTGGTGAGAAGGTGACAACAGTTGGTGCGATTATTTGCAAATGGAAGAAACACAAAAGAACTGTCAATCTCCCTCGGCCTGGGGCTCCATGCAAGATCTCACCTCGTGGAGTTGCAATGATCATGAGAACGGTGAGGAATCAGCCCAGAACTACACGGGAGGATCTTGTCAATGATCTCAAGGCAGCTGGGACCATTGTCACCAAGAAGACAATTGGTAACACACTATGCCGTGAAGGACTGAAATCCTGCATCGCCCGCAAGGTCCCCCTGCTCAAGAAAGCACATATACATGCCCGTCTGAAGTTTTCCAATGAACATCTGAATGATTCAGAGGACAACTGGGTGAAAGTGTTGTGGTCAGATGAGACCAAAAAGGAGCTCTTTGGTATCAACTCAACTCGCCGTGTTTGGAGGAGGAGGAATGCTGCCTATGACCCCAACAACACCATCCCCACCGTCAAACATGGAGGTGAAAACATTATGCTTTGGGGGTGTTTTTCTGCTAAGGTGACAGGACAACTTCACCGCATCAAAGGGACGATGGACGGGGCCATGTACCGTCAAATCTTGGGTAAGAACCTCCTTCCCTCAGCCAGGGCATTGAAAATGGTTCATGGATGGGTATTCCAGCATGACAATGACCCAAAACACATGGCCAAGGCAACAAAGGAGTGGCTCAAGAAGAAGCACATTAAGGTCCTGGAGTGGCCTAGCCAGTCTCCAGACCTTAATCCCATAGAAAATCGGTGGAGGGAGCTGAAGGTTCGAGTTGCCAAACGTCAGCCTCGAAACCTTAATGACTTGGAGAAGATCTGCAAAGAGGAATGGGACAAAATCCCTCCTGAGATGTGTGCAAACCTGGTGGCCAACTACAAGAAACGTCTGACCTCTGTGATTGCCAACAAGGGTTTTGCCACGAAGAACTAAGTCATGTTTTGCAGAGGGTTCAAATACTTATTTCCCTCATTAAAATGCTAATCAATTTATAGCATTTTTGACATGCGTTTTTCTGGATTTTTTTGTTGTTCTGTCTCTCACTGTTCAAATAAACCTACCATTAAAATTATAGACTGATCATTTATGTCAGTGGGCAAACGTACAAAATCAGCAGGGGATCAAATACTTTTTTCCCTCACTGTACGTCGTTAATTCGTTCCAGAAGGTAGGAGGACTTATTCCGACAGTGACGTCTACCAAACGAATTTTTCCCATAAGAAATAAAGGGAAAGGAAATAATCCGTTCCAGAGTATAATAAATTATATTTTATACGGCATATTATACATGAATGGGGTTGTAGAACATGATGTAGACACTACTGAGTACTAAAATGCATACATACATTAAAATGACAAAAAACACCACGTGAAAATTCACAGAGTTATAGCAAGGGTCGTGCACTGAACGAGATCTACGGGCAGACTGAGGAGCGGCGCTTTGTTTCAGTCGTGAACGGGGTCTACGCGGATGCGCGGTGACTCATCCCGACCCATACAAGTTCTAGCAAGCGCGTCGTATCCCAAGACATTTTTTTCTCGTCAAAACACGACGTATGCCAAATTCGACGTATTCTAAAGCGGTCGTATACCGAGGTGTGACT